AACACTATTTTGAAGTAACATAATTTATAGATAGAAGATGAAATTAGTAAATTAGTGTGTATAAATGTCAAAGTACTAAATTAGTTTTCGTTTTTGTTTTATTTTATAATTAGAGACATATCAAAAATAAGTTTATCCTTCATATTTATTTACGACACAATATTTTTAAAATTGAAGTGTACGCTTCAAAAACGGAATCACAAGTTTCCAACGTGTTTTTAAAAATGGTTTTTTGAAAGCATCATTGAAACGAATTTCCGAGAGATTTCGATTCTGATTTTGATTCTAAAGTAGGAAACGGACCTCCGACCAAATTTTCGTGCTACCTAGGGTATCATTTGACTTTTACAATAGAATAAAATTCACTGGCAATTGATTTGTAAAACGTAAACACACCATTAGCACCTATTAGTTATTAATTAATCACATGTGGCAAAATGCTAATGGATAGCATGTATTTCTTAGTTATACGTACGCGCATTGGCCACGAGAGTTTGTGTTATGTAATGTAGAACTGATCTTGTAAGGCAGTATCGGCTTGAGTTTTGGGGTTTTTAGATCGATGTTTAAAACATGAGAACGAATATTACTATTTTAAAACTTTAAAGGCTTATTTATGCAAATAAAAATAAAGCAGGAGCTTATATATGTAAAAAAAGACAAATCACGGACCTTTTTCTGCAAAATAAAATTAGGGACTTTTTTAATACTGAAAATTCGAAAAAATTTGGGACCCAGATCCATCCATGTTTCACCTGCTTTGGCCCAGGGTCGGTCCAGTAAGGTTATGAGTCGCAAGCCCAACAGAAAAAGTCTATAAATATGGTAAGAGAAAAAGATACCATGTAATATGTAACAAGTGTCCAACTCCATTCCGAAATCATCGTCACCCACCTCCCTCTCTGATTTCCAAAAAAAAAAAGAAGTCTTAAAGAAAAAGAATAAATCGATTAGGGAAGCTACAATGGGGGCAGAAGGCTCAAGTTTCTCCTCCATGTATTGTCCCTTCTCCAGCATCGAACCCTCAAAGCTTCGATTTTGACTGATGCATCTTCGATGTAGATTGATTTTACAATCTATGGTATATGAGTTGTTTAAAATTATTAGTTTCTTTAAAACAATTAGTACCTCAAAGTTTTTGTTATTTCATGCAGAACTGATCCTGTAAGATTATGAGCCGCAAGTCCAACAAAAAAAAAAAAGGCTACAAGTTCTTAAAAAAAAAAAAAAGGATAACTAGTAACATGCAAATGCCGAACTTCATTCCAAGAACTTTGTCACCCACCTTCCTTTGTGAACTAGAAAAAGAAGTCTTAAAGAAGAAGAAGAAAATTGATTGGAGAAGCTACAATGTGACAGAAGGTTCAAGTTTCTCCTCTGTGTAGTATACATTCTCTAGCATTGGACCCTCAAAGCTTCGATATTGACTCAAGCTTTGTTTGAAATGTAAACGCTGTATGAAATGTTGTCTCTTTGAACTACGGTATGGGATGGACTCACTCCTCCATGGAGAATTCTTCTATCCTCATCAGCCTCATGTGGCGACGTTTCTTCCGCTTGATCTATGCCATCGATTTTGGGAGCTCTTTTATCAAAGTAAAATCTGACCGTCAAACTTTAATAGGCCTTCTCAACTCCTGAGATATACACATCGACATCAAGATGTTCATAGAAGATATTATGGAGATAGTTATTTCTCATAGAAGATATTATGAAGATAGTTATTTCTTTTCAATTCTAACTTTATCTCCCAACTCTGAAAACTTCTGTTATTTCTCTTAAATTATAACTTTACTATTAACTCTGAAAACTTTTTCTCATTTCAATTCGG